AAGGTGACATTTTTGTAATACCCATGTAGGCATTTTCTTTCGTATTAAATATTTGTTTTTGCTCTAATTTTTCGTAGAGCTGTGTGTTCTTTCATAAGTAAAACTATTAGGTAATAAAAGATATCCATAAATTTCCACCTCAATCTAATTCTATACTCATTTATTCCTCTTATTCAGTCATGTTTACTACTAACTAAATTTCAAAATGTTTCACTCTCAAAAAAATAAATAAAAAAAGGAAGGAAGCGAATTCACGTCCAAGTGGAAACAGCTTCATTCAAATATAATGTAATTATTTATAGCCAAAAATATTGAAAAATTTATGGTTTTGAAAGATAAAATTTATCTGCAGTTCACAAGAATGTTGCCCTCTTAGAATTGAAGAAAAAAAAATTCTAGGAGTGGGCCTTTTGAGAAACATGCCGCCATGAAGCATTGAGTTGGGGCGGTTCTATGTGAGTGCTGCGTGTTATTATACGCTGCGCTGCGCCGGACTGAGCCGCGCTCTGCCGGACTTCCACCCCCCTCTCATCCTCACCCTTTGCTCCTACCTTAACTTCCAATACACCATTTGATAGGAAATTGCGTCCTCTAAAAATTTTCATATAAGTATAAATTCCATTTTTCAATCGATAACGGACTTATTCCGATTTATTTAAAAAAAATAATTCCATTTCATAAATTTTGAATTTGTTTTAAAATTTTCTTAACGATCTCTTGATAAATTTTGATGACCAATGGTTTCATTTTAACGTACGTATCAGTACGAACAATTTAAAAAAAATTGAGGTGTCTAACTATAATAGGAGCCAAGTTACAGCAGTTTAATTGGAAGGGGGGATTTTTCAACTTTGAGGGGGGCTAGCAAAAATCCCTAGGGGGCTAGGAATGGGGACTTTTGTGAAAATACGCCCCACAGTGGGTATAATCAGTGGTAAAAATTTCAGCTTGTTACTAATTTGTTCCGCATAAATCTCTTCGTTTACTGGACTAGATCTGCGTGATTCACATCGCGCGCTGAACGTTATCATGATAGTCTCTTGCAGTATAAAAATCTGGCAACCTCAATCTTGACGCTTTGGCTCAACTATAGCAAATTACTCATAGTTTGAACAACACATGGAAGGAAATGAAAATTGCTCGATTGAGAGGCTTTCTGAAATAGTTGTAGTGCTCGATTTGACTCACGTAGAGCTTTGAGTTTCTCGTGAGCGGGCAGTTCAAAATCCGCGTAACCAATGTGAAATAAAAAGGTAAATACTTCGTTAGGAGTTGGTTTCAGTAATTTCCGTTGCGCGAATCGCGTTTTACGTGAAATTCTGGTTAAGAAACATTTTGCAGAATGCTTGAATTCGTGCCTTGTGTAGTGGTCCATTGTAAAATGTATTCTTATCCAGTGTTAGGTACTGCACACGCACTATGTTCCCATAAACTTTCAATAAGGGATTCTCCCCTAAAATTTAGAGTCCCTTTATACCCAGAGTTAAGACAACTCACTTTTGGTTGGGCTGAAAGTGGCCTAAAAAAAATCCAATTCTGATTGGTTCCCGCTCATGGAGGCCGAAACGAGTGCACCAGGATGGCGGTACCTCGAATGTGAACAAGAATAATGAAAATATTACCTAATCGTGGTTTATCAAGAGTAAATTGTTATTGCCATCGGTCCAAAATGAAAATAAATTAAGAAATTATTCACAAACCACTCTCATTTTCTTTTTAATTCATCAATTTGTTGATGTTGTTGTTTTTGTGTGACAGACATCGCAGGATTCCTAATCCTTATCCTTCAATATCGTTCGTTTGGGTGCACTCGTTTCGGCCTCCATCCAGCCAAGGCCGGCTGCCAGTCAGCTGATGATCGAGTTGTCTTAACTCTGGGTATAAAGGGACTCTACTAAAATTTAGTAAAGGTAATTGCAATGAACGCGGTAAAAAATTAACTTTATACCGATGCATTGATGCATATTTTCTAATCCCTATCACTTCATGGATCATGCTGTACTCACGAGATAGGTTGATGATCCGACGTTTAAGTTTGCCATCATCGCCAAGTAAAACTACTTTAAGGTAATAGTCCTCAGCTTGAACATCATTAATGCTAGAAATTCCTGGGAGAAACAGAAGTGTTCGAGATTGAGTAAACTCTGGCGAGACCTCAAAGATAAAAAGTTGCATCTGAAAGACCAAAATTTAGAGTGAGAATGATACATTCAATCGACAAAATGACGCAGCTCAGAGGTAAATTCGGACTACATTTTGCAATTATAGGAAATACTTGGCTCGTCGTTTTAGAAATAACGTAAGTATGCCATTATTTTCCTTATGCACGTAAGTTTTTTTACAGATGAGCTAGAAATTGTAGTTCCTAATTGCAAAATGCTGCATGTCCATTCGAGGGAAGAAACGAACTGTCAGTTTACTTCGAGATATCAAGCAAGCAATAACCTTTCCGTGAATAAGTATAGTCAAAGCAAGTTTTTTCAGATTTTACATATAATGAAAGAAACTGTAATTTTGTTGCAAGACATACCTACCTTTTCTCACGAAGTCTCTAGTATTTTGATTCCTCTTGTCAGAGCCTTTGTAAAGATAAATTACCTACCTTTGAATTATGGATGATTAATATTTGCTTCTGCGCGCTGATTCCAACAAAAGTAGTCTTGCACTGTTTTATCTTCTCTATTCTCGTCCAGAACGTAAATTTGCTAGCTGAAAAAGATCAGGAATAGACCCAAAATGTTACTCAGTTCAGGTTCTTATGTAATAAAGGAATTCGAAAACTTAAGTGTGTAATATGTTCAGTCACCGAGAAGCACTGTAAATTTCTTCAAACGTTATCTATCTTCTAGAGAAGTCATAATGCAGCTGCACAATTGCAAACACAGGAAAAACTGTCAAAAAAATGAGGATGTCTAAGGGAGAACAGGAAAAACGAGAAATTTATCAGGAATCCTCCCGCGAAATGGCATGCAATAGTATATCGATGGTGTAAGTCGGCAATCACATAACTCGGTTTGCGACGTCACAGACTTCCTGGCATTACTTTACTTTTCAAACGGAATACTACTCAACAGCAATTCTTTAAAACTGCCGTGATTTTTCTTCTTTGCGCAAAGAAAATTCTACATAAACGTCAAGAAATGATGTCAATTTGTTCTCCTTTAAAAAGATACCATAGAGGCGGAGATTTTCAAACACCGCAAACGAGATATGTGATTGCGGACTTACGCCGTCGATATGCGTTTCACGCCGAGCAGCGACCGCACTGTGTTAGGCGCAATGCGTGAAGTATTCGTGCACTCTTGTAGGCGTTGCGCGAACCGGCGATCGCGCTGTACATTAGGTATAATGCTTGAAGTATTTCTACAGTCTTGTAGGCGCTAATATGCGACCGACCGCCGCCCAGCCCGCCTTTTTTCGAGCTGGTGGCTTTACATCGGACAGCTGATTTCCGTGAACTTTTGTTATGTTATTTTGGTGGCCTATCATATCACGTTTCCACAAAGAAACTCTCTATAAATTCATTTCTTCAGAGAAATACCAGATTGACTGGACTATGTGTACTTTCCGTAAAATATGTTCTCTTATCACACTAACAGTTCTTAGGATCATATACATTGAAAATTACATCTCTGTGCATTTAAATACATTATTTTTTAAAATAACATATTTGGTTGTGTTTTGCGATTGAAAAAAAAAAAGAAAAAAAAATTGAGTGCCCATAGGAGCAGGAGCAGGAGCCTCGGAGCAAATCTACACACTGTACTTTTGGGCACTCAATGGATCACGAAAATGTATTGAGTTTTGGTTTGAAGGAAGTATGAAAGTTTAAGTTTCATTCAAGCGGAAGACCCAGCATTGAAGATACGGAAATAAAGAGACTTGAAGCATACGAGTGCAAAATAAATTGCCTGCGAAATGATTAAATCGGTATTTCATAAATGATTTTTGTAACTTATGAACGCCACACCGTTTTCTTGAAGGTAAAAACGAGAAAAATGAATCACACGACGGGAAGTCCAAGAATCAACTTCTAGACTAAATATATAAGTATTTACAATTAACATTTTTTAAATGGCAAAAATACAAACGACGTCATTGGATTACTATCTAACTTCAATATACGTGGTTCCGCACTTCAGTCGGTGCGATACGGACATCCATCAAGTTTAAAAAGTTGCATCAAGTCCCCGTCACCGCCGACCAACGCGTTTGTCGATCGAATCAACTGCAGGTAGTATGAGCAAGCAGTTGAAACGCCTTCAATTTTTTGAACGCAATACGGACATCCATCGAGGTTGTATAGTTGTATCAAGGCGCCGTAGCAAGCGTGTCCCATTGTTTATCGTTACAGACGCATATAAGTTGAGAGAGGAAAGTCATAATGCCTTCACTTTTATACATACATATTTTTGGGCAAAATGAGAGACGACATTTCTCCATTTGCGACGTTGCAGACTTCCTTAGAGATTTTATTTATCTTTCGAGAAGCTGGTCAACATAAAACTTAAATTCTCCATGATTTTTCGTATTCGATAGCAGAAGATTTGGTTCCAAATCTAAAGTCGTAAATTTGGATTGTTCCTCATGGAAGAGATGAAAAAAGAACGGAAATTTTGAAACACCGAAATGGAGATTCGATCGATGTAAAAAATACTTGATAACATCTCGTTCAAAATATACTAACGTATCCGCAGTCTGAGACCTGCACATATTTTAGTTGGTAATTTTAAAGAACAAACCCACTTAGGAACTATTTTAAATAATTTTTGCTCAGAAATAAATAAGGGAGGAGGCGAGGCTTCTGGATTAATTCCACGGTCTCACGCATTTCATAGGAATTAGTGCACCAAAATACCACGCGCGTGGTTTCCTTTTACGGTCTAAAAACCGGAAAAACTTTGCGATATAATCGCAATTGAGCGACCACTTCCTACTTCAATTTTGGCTTTTGTAATTCGCAATATTCTGCAAAATCGACGGTTACTCACATTTCCTCAAGTAAAGACGAGAACCAAGTGTCTTGTCAGTAATTAACAGCAGTAGCTCATCATTTAGAGCGAAGAGTCCGACGCACGGTTCAAATGGGGCTCTGATGACCTGGTCCCGAATTATCAATGTCTGCATTGGAGAGATTGGTATCATTTTGAAAATGTGGCATTCGTGCTGAAACAGAACCAGATATTTAAAGTCGATCAAATGTGACATCAATATTTAAAGACGCTCTGAGATTGGTCGGTGTGTTTTAGGCTTTCATGATCCCGGACGTCATAGGTTGTCATTTTGACGTCTCACTTCAAAATGGACAAATTTGTGGGAATCGACAGAAATTTCCTTCCTCGCCACGAAACTCGCTGTTAGCCTAACTGGAATTGAGGCTTTCATCTGTAGTAAGGTTCTGTGAGTGGCGATGGTGCTGGAAAAATGTCTCAAATGAAAATGAGGCGGACAAAGTTTTTGCGATGCAAAAATAGGTACCCTCCTGATCACAAAAAACGTTGCTAAAAAAAGTAACGTCCATTGTATAACTAAAGGAAATACTCAACATTTCATCAGGTTGCTTCAGCTGCTCTTTGGTAATACTCTGATTACGCTGTATTTTTAACGTACCGTTCTGAAACGCTGAGCACCTTGAATCAAGACTATTGTCACATGACCTGCATTATCAATTGATAATAATTGTTTAGGAGACGTAACAGCTTCCTCTGCTTCCTTGTAAAAGTGCGGATGGGTCCACCTGTAAATTCTAAAACAGACACACGGAACGAATAAGAATTACATTGAAATACAGAAATAAAATTACACCTGAAAATGCAAAGAAATAAAATAAGTCAGGACTATAAAGAATGGTATAATCTCTCGTGTGACGTGAGACATAGAATTTAAAGTAATTTTGATTACCTAAGTTAGTAGGATAGGTGGACTACATTTTGCAAAAAAGAACTTTTTAACCTTACATATGCAGCTATTTGCTTAGGTAAACTAATGGTACATATGCTGTTTCTGAAATGAGCCAGAATTAGGATTATCTCAATGCAAAATTTTCTCAGTATAAATCATTTCTTATGTCCCCAGCGTCCCTTCTGAGGTAAAGCTTTTCATGCACCCACAACCGATCAAAATTTATTTTACGTAACTGTTTAAAGCACCCCAATTTACCTCGAGTTTAACCTTGTAAGGAAAGAAAAATCTGTGAATCTGAATTGATGACTGAAATCAACAAGACGTCATTTTCTAAATTTTTTACAGCCAATTCACCATCACCTCGCCATTTTCTGAAGAGGAGACTTTTACGCACGTAGCTCTCTCGCAACATTATTACTTTTTAACGGTTTGTGCATGAAATTACAACTGGTTTCTTAAATTACCTAATGACTATCTCTGGTTCGGGAATCATGAAGGAAGAGAAGGGATAAATTAGGAGGAAAAAATAACTTTTGAAATACTGACGTCAGACGGGATGCATCTGAGAAATACGCAACTAGAAGGAAAAGCTGGTTTGAATGTACGACAAAATCAGCATCCTGAATCTTGCTTTCCTGCATCTCATGAATGATTTGGATGAGAGTAAAATTACTTCTATTTGAATGTCTATGAAGTATATGTAAATGCTGTTGAAAGCCAAAAATTGAGAAATATTCTACCGGACACGCCATAAAACTTTCCGCTCGCCAGTCGACAGCCTGAATCATAGACAAAAAAATTATTCAAGAATGAATTTATATCAACATACACTTGTTAGAAAATGAATACATCACGATGAAAATAACCAAATGAGTTATGCACTTGTATGAGGGGAGATTTTTACCATGGGTCAAAGGCCCTCCGTCCGTGAGAATCCGCCGTATAGGTGGTTCTCAGGTGTTACATACCGCCAAAAATTACATAGATTACTTTACTATTTTACTAGACTTCAAATTTTTTCCCTATGATATTTTGATATTTATTACAATTATTTTGACCCTGAAAAATGTTGACTACAAGTAGCCTGTGAATTATCGAGATCGGATTAGAAGGAGAAACTTTTGTCACCAGTATGATACAAAATCAGAAGGGGTTTTGAAGGATGAGGTAACTAAACGGTATGGGGGGGGAGGCACTAGTACTCTCCACCAACACACAGCCCCCCTCCCCCCGGAAAAGTAGCTTTACACCATACCGGTGATAAATCTTGAAGATTTGTAGAATTAATTTTGATCCTAGTTTATGCTTAAAATGCCCTCCATTTAATGGTCATCCTATCAAATTCCTATGATTTTGTCTCGATTCTCTTACTGAACGTTTGTGACCTAAACTTAGAATTTTTTCCTCTGAAAACCATAGCTGTAGCGACAAAAGAGGCTGCGCTTACCTTGAAACAAGCGCCTCTTGGACGATTTTTGTCTGCACTGACATGGAACATCTTGTTGAATTCTGACGAATTACCGAAGGAATCAAAATATTTAGATTGAGATCTCGCCTCAACCGAGGCCATAACTTGGTGCTTACTGACTGTATCTGATGATATAGCTGCGAGAACAGACATTTCAGAACTTTTATTAGGAAACTCAAATGCAAAAAGTAAACTTACAATGGGCTATCTACAGCAAATTTTAAATTTTTACCATGAAGAATGAAGTTCTTCAGCCTTAACCTCAAGGATGACTTAAAATGTCAGGTTGCAAAAACCCATGACTTCACGAACGGTGAGGTCCACCCAAACGGTGGTTTTGGGGGAATGGAATGTCCCTCGTGCAAAGGGGAGTCTGGGGCAGGGGCATCCTTTCTGAAAATGTTAAAAAATGTAACATATCTAAAATTCAATTTCACGCAACTTTGGCTTCAAGAGTCTCTAAAGTTTTGGCGTGAAAATATCAGATTTATCGCTGAAAATCAGATATAAACTTGAAAAATTAAAGTGAACGATGAGACGTTTGCAAATCAACTTGAAAGATTTGACGTGATACGACGTGTTTACGGAATACAAACAGTTGACAAACGAAAATTTTCTGTATATATAGGTATTATATGCCATATTTTGGCTACTAAGGTAGTAGCGGGAATTCCAAGTCAGCAATACAATTTATCGAGACGCATGTTTTTTTCGTTTCAGAATCACATGCATACCTTTCTCCTGACCTTACCGCTCCTCGTCTCGTAAATCAACTGACTGCCATCACTCAGCTTTTCCTCGATCGCCTTCAATTTCCGTAACGACTGATTTGGTTCAGATGTCGAAACAGTATCGAAAAGACATCCAATGCAGAAAATTGCCCAAGCAACCTCCTGTAACAAACTTGGATGAATGAGTGATAAAGCATGATAAGAGTTGAATGGAACGAGTTTGACAGAAACCAATACACACTCCATCGATTTAGTGACTACGTCATTCGATGTACAGCTCATGTTACATTAGAGTCGCTATGCACATACTTACAGGAGCGTGGATGAAATCACTTTTTGAGGTAGTTTGACCAGCACCTTTGAGACTAGCGTGTGGCGCTAGGGATGTCATATGTGGGGGCTCCCAGCTCCTTGCCTCTCTCAGAGTGTTTAGGCATAAAACTTATTCAATAAAAACTGGGAGTTCCGTAAAGAGCTTGATGCAAAAACGGCTTTTTTCGCCCCCCCTCTGGAAGTTCTTCAGACTTTGTCTATTGATTACTCATACTTGAGCGCTTCTTTTCCCAAATTTTCAGACCCCCAAAAAATTTTTGGGGGGAGCTAGGGGGCGTGGAAGACAAAACCTGTGAACCTCGATATCTCTTGAGCAAAGAAAGATATCGAGGTCCGGTTTGGACGAAAAATCGTCTAAAATTGCATACCTACTTTGAGATTCTAAAGGTCGAAATTCCGAAATCACATTTTTAAGTTAACATATGTGCTTATTTCCAGTTTTTAGGTCTAGAAAATTTCTTTTAAACAAAAAATTTACAAAGATTTCAATTTTTTATTTGAACCAAAACCAGTTTTTTAAATTGTTCGTCTTTTTCCGCATCCAACGAGTGGTCCATTAAGCTGGGGAACCAAACGGTTCTGGAGTTATGATCGATTTAAGTTTCCGCTCAACGCGCGCCGACCGATTTTCGTGCGCAAAAAAGTCGGATTTGACTGTTATTAGATCAGATTGAATGTTCAAACCGAGCAAAATGCTTTATTAGGGACTCTTGAGGGTAGCTGAGTTCAGAAATTACAGATACTTCCAAATAATTTACGTTTTTAAAATTACAGCTCCGCAGCGCTATTTTAGAGGCCCA